CTGGATTGGGAAGGAAGCAAGCCGTACCTGCGGGCCACGGTGGCATGGGCTTGTCCGAGTCAGAAGACGATGGCGAGGAGCCGGCAGCAGAGCCGAACCGCGAGGGGGAAGCCGCCGCGACGGACCCGCTGAGTGCAGTGTTGCAGAGGTTGACCCAGGTGGTGGAGACCCTCGCCAAGGACAAGAAGCCCGCGTCGGGACAGTCGAAGCTCGATGCCCTCCTCGACGGGGCGAGCGCCAGCAGCGCCGCAGCATCGGCCGAGGGCGGAGGCATACCACGACGCAATGCAGCAGCTCGCCGAGCCCTTCGCCAGGCCCTTGTCGACAACCCGCAGCTGATCTCCAAGACCATTGCTTCGCACATGGCAGAAGATCTCCTAGGAGTGTCCCAACCGGGGGTGCCGCCCTTGACTTCAGCCCGCAGCTGGGTCGAACACCGGAGCAGGATAGGCCCTTACCACACCCTGGCGAAGACTGCCTGGGCAACAGCGGGGGCATTAGATGCCATCCGCAACGGCAGGGTGGAGGAGACGGAGGCGCGCCTAAGCATCCTCCTCTTGATGCTGGACCAGGTTGGGGTGGACAAAGGCGGGTGGTCTCTGGCCTCGGAACTTTCACTGGAGGCCCCTGTGCCGATGCACAGCTTCAGGCTTCACGAGGTGAAGGACCACGAGCAGGTCCATTCGCGACTGCTGGACAGCAGGTGGGCCGAGTTAGCTCTGGGGCATCTGAGGGATCAGATGGACTTTGTCGAAAAACGAGAGAAGCTTTCGAGGCAACGAGGGGGCGGCGGAGGGGGACCGGAGCCGGAGGAGGAAGGGGACAGCGGAAACCGCCCGCGACCGAAGCCGAAAGTGAAGCCACAGCCAAAGAAGTGAGGGAGGGCGCTGCTGCCTGTTGCAGCGGGCCCACCCATGGAAGCAAAGCCAAATGCAATACCACCCGTGGCGGCTTCGGCTCGCACACTTCGGCCACCACTGGGGCCCCGCCCGCAGTACCGGGTGCGGCTGCCCCTCATGTTTCCTTGCCTGGATTTTGGCATAGTTTGCCCACGATGTTGTTGAAGCACGGGGGCCCCTTTTGCAAGTTTCTGAGCTGCCTGCTTTCTGCCGAGAACAGACCGGCACCTACGTCCTCGACTTGGCCCATGCCTCTGCCCTATCCTGGTGTTTTTAAAGCCAAGCAGCCCACCCGCCCTTCCTGGCGACACAAGAGGATCAACTTAATTGTTGCTCAACTTGATTGGTTGCATCTTGGGTGTCCTGCTTCGCCCCCGCCTGGACTTGGGCTTGGAGCTCGACTTTCGGCCAGCCAGCGCCGAGCCGTCGCTGCCTTGGAGCGCCTCGTTGAGGATAGCACTACGTTTTTCAAGCTCGACCCCTCGCTCATGGGCAGGTCTGCGGTTAAAGCCGAGGACCAGCACAACACTCTTGCGGCCCTGAGCAGGGCGATGGGCGGTTTTGAGGGTGACATTGGTTATTTCCGGAAGATTCGACACGAGCTCCGCAGCGATGAGAGCAACCATGACGGCTCCAACGGCTTCAAAACCGAGTCCAACGGCAAGGCCGCGCCGTTGGACTCGGTTACGATGAGCCCGTGCAGGAAAGCTTCGAGGCGGCCCGACTTTGGCCGAGTGCAAGGGAAGATCAAGCTGGAGGAAGCTTGCAGCGCTAAGCCCATCCAGGCTGCCCGCATCAAGTTCCCTCCCCCGCCATCCTTTTGCCCAAAGGGTTTCTTGGATCGTGCCACACAGGAGCTCTTTGACAGGCCATTGGATTTCGAGCGGCCTCCGGACCCAGCCAAGACCATACCTGTGGTGAAGGTTCGCGCAAATCGTGCTGAAAAGGTGCAGCTTTACCGCGCGCTTGCTGCTAGCGGACGCCTGAAACCGGTTCGTGTTGAGGCCTCGCGCCTGCCCTTCGCTGGAGGCATGTTTTCGGTTCCGAAAGATTTGGAAAGGGATAGGTTGGTGCTCGACGCCCGTCCAGGGAACTCGCTCACAGATCCGCCATCCTACTGGTCGGCGACCATGGCTTCCGCGAGCGTGCTGTTGCCGATGATCCTAAACCCCTCCGAGGAGTTGCGGATAAGTTCTGCAGACCTGAAAGATTATTTTTATCTGTTCCAGGTCACCGATCAAAGGCTCACCAAGAACCTCCTGCAAGGAACTCTCACTACCCAGGAGTGTGAGGAGGTTTTTGGCCATCCGTGCTCCGACTTTGCGGAGGAAGATGGAACGGTGAGGGTTGCTCTAGCAACCTTAGCCATGGGCGACAACGCCGCAGTGGAATTCGCGCAGGGATCGCACTTGGGGGTTCTGTACCGCAACGGGATAGTCAGTCCTGAGGAACTCTTAGTTCCGAATTTCCCTCCGCCGCGTGGGCTCCTCAGCATAGGTGTGGTTCTCGACGACTTGGTCATTCTCGAGCGTGTCGCCCGCAACTTTGGCATGGCAGCTGAGATGCGAAAAGCCGCGGGGGCTGAGCGCCTGGAAGGGGCGCACGCATGCTATGCTTCAGTGGGGTTGTTGGCCCACCCAGAGAAAGGCTACAGGGATGCAGACGAAGCCACCTTTTGGGGAGTGAAGCTCAACGGAAAGAGCGGCCTTTTGAGGCCCTCACCGTCACGGCTCGGACCGCTCACGCTCATCACTGCTCGAGTGGCCAGCCTAGGCATCTGCACTAAGGCCCTGCTGCAGTCGTTGGTGGGTTCGTGGACTTCGGTCTTCCTGCTTAGGCGGCGAGCCCTGTCCCTGCTGCAGATCTGCTTTGAGGCCCTTACTCGGACGGAGGACGATGACATCATACGGCTGTCACCGGGCCTGCGTGATGAGATGTGGAGCTGGGTCCTGTTGGGCCCGGTCTGCGTCGCAGACCTGCGGGCGCAAGTTCTCGAAGCCGCCTTCGCAACGCATGCCTCAGATGACATGATTGCTGCGGTCCGCGCTGATGTGCCCGCGGAGGTCGCAGCCGAGGTTTTTCAGCACAGCCTTCAGAAAGGCGCCTGGACCCGCCTGCTCTCAGGGCCGCAAGCCTGGTTTAGGGAGAAGGGCCTGCTCTGCGAAAGCCAAGAGCTCCCGGGCGAAGAGGCCTTCACTCCTCATCCGCTCTGGCGGGTCCTTGCGAGATCGCTCAACTACCAGAAAGTTTTTGCTTCAAGGGTGCGTGCCACGACTCACATAAACTTGAAGGAGTTGCATGCCTTTCTTCGTCTTGAGGAAAGGATTGGCGACCGCATGGTGAATGTGAGGTTTGTGTGTGCCTTGGATTCGCAAGTGAGCCTCGGAGCCTTGACAAAAGGCCGAGCCGCGTCCCCAGCTCTTAACAAGTGCCTTAGGGGTTCCTTAGCCTATCACTTGGGGTGTAACCTAAGTTGTGGGCTTGGGTATGTGCGAAGCAACGAAAACCCTGCAGACGACCCTACCAGAGAAGTTGAGCTTCGTTCGGCCTGCGACCCGTTGCCAGATTGGTGGATCCCTTTGGCAAAAGGGGATTCAGCAGCTTTTCTGCTTTGGATGGAACGGCGGGAAGAGCTCGCGCCCGACCCAGCGAAGTTCCACCCAGGGGCTTTGAAGGAGAGGTTTAAGGCGATTGGTCGCTTTGCTAGCAGCCCGGCCCCTAGCCCAGCAGAGCGTCTGCGCCAACAGCCGAAGCACGGCCTTCGGCAGAAGTTTTCCAAACTGGCTTGTCGTCTGGGCTGCCTTGACGATCGCCTGCTGCGTGACCTGCCTGAGTTTGAAGGAAATCAGCGGGGATTGTTGGAAGCCTTTCCTAGGCGTTGGTTCTGGCCGCCCCGCGGACGGCTTGACTTCGGACTGAAGGGAGGCCTTCACCTGGAGGCGCGCCACTCGGGAGTCGCAAGGAGACTTGTGCGAGGTGGACTGCCCTGGGTCCTCTCAGTGCCGCGTGCAACCGACGAGCGGGGACTAGCCGAGGACCTAAAGCAAGCCTGCAAAGCCGCCATTGGTGCGGGGCGATTCGATGTCTGCATCGCCTCCCCTGCCGTAGGCTCTCTTTCCGTTGCCTGCGCTCCTCAATGCCGTACTGCTAGTGAGCCCGAAGGAATAAAGAGCCTGTCCCGAAGGTGCAAGGAGCGAGTCGACCGAGACAACGAGAAGGCCTCGTGGATCGCCTCCTGCTTAGAAGGGTTTAGGAGGGTTTCTAGGGGCCCCTTTAGGGTTGATAATCCTGATACCTCTTTTCTTTGGCAGTTGCCGGGATTTGAAGACTTCAGTTTAACCTCGGGTGCCACTCTCAGGGTCGACAGCTGCAGGTATGGAAGCCCATGGAGGAAAAGGTTTCGCGTTGGCACCAACACCTGCGTTGGGGGCCAGAGGTCTTTTTGCCGTTGCTCCTCCGGGCATGTGCGTTTGCGCGGGAGGGTCAGTCCGCGAGGGCCTTCCTGGACGCGAGCAGCAGGGGAAATGCCTGCAGCCTTGACCGAGGAACTCTGCGATTCGGTGTTGTGCATGTGGAGGCGCAACGGCCTTCCATTGAGCGCTGCCTTAGCGCGCCAGTCGCATGCGAAGATAGGCGAAGCCAGCCACCCAGGACCCAGGAGGGCGCGCCTGCCACTCGCTAGAAGCGGCACTGACCTTGAAGCGCAGCCTTTGCTTTCAGGGGTGTCTAGGGCTTTGGGTGCTAGGGCTTGGTCCTCCTTCCTCCTCTGGCTCTCCTCTCGCGTCTCCTTTTGTCCGTCTGAAGTCTTTAGCCGCGCCCCCGCTCTGCTAGCCATGGCACTGCGTTCTTACGGGAACTGGCTGTACAAGACTGGAGGGACGCTCCACGAGCTCCGACACACCATCCTGGCAGCTCAGCGCGAGTACATGAATCTCAAACCGCTGAGCAGCATTGTCTGGGAACTTGTGAGTCGTTGGGAATATCTGGAGCCGCCAGTGCATCGGGTGCCTTTACCCGAGCCTATCCTGAAAGCCATGGTTGCTCTGGCATGGACCACGGGNNNTTTATGGGCTGGCGAGAATTGGGGAAGTTTTGGCTGCAACACGACGAGACCTTCTGCTGCCGAGCGAGGATCTGTGGGAGCAGAGTGGCAGTGTGTACCTACGCCTTGGGGCCTCCAAGACCTCCACGCGGGGACGCGCTCGGGTGCAGCACATCAAGATATCGGACCCGGCGGCGATTCAGCTGATTGGGGGTGCTTTCAAGAACTACGAGCCTGGTGAAAAGCTCTTCGCGAAGACGCCCTCAGCCTACCGCTACCGCTGGAACCGCCTGCTTGGTGTGCTGTCGGTTGACCCGGCACTGCGTCTGACGCCTGGAGGCCTAAGAGGTGGTGGTGCAGTTTGGTGCTACAGACGTGGAGAGGCCATCGCCGACATCCAGTGGAAAATGCGGCTCAAGCATCAAGGAACCCTGGAGTACTACTTACAGGAAGTGGGAGCCATTTCGGCTCTCAATGCTCTGGGGGACACAGCGGAACGCAAGATCAGGGCTGCAGCCGCTACTTTTGGCTGCCTTTGCCCCGCAAACCAGTGAAGCCCCCCTCTGTGAGCACAGCTTTGCCTGCGGCGCCTCTTTGGCCCCACTTGGCGCATGCGCGCTTAGCGCTCGTCGCCCTTCGCCGACTGGCCTGGGAGCAATGGTTGGAGCTGGAAATTTGGGCAGCACCGT